GGGCAGAGGGGACCTGCTGCCTGCCCTGCGCTGCTGGGCTGCTGGGTTGCTGGACCATGGGCCTGGAAGTCTTCTCTCTGTCACCTGCTGAGCCTGAGCCTGCAGGGGGCGTGGTGGGCAGAGATACCTTTGCAGGGTGGCAGAAAGGGAGGGCTCTGTGCCCCTAGGAGCAAGAATGCAGCTTTGGAGGCTTCAGGCTGACCCAGGATGATGTCAAAAGCAAAGCAACCCACAGCCTTCAGGATCCTTTTAGTTGGGGCTCTTGGCATCTCTCTACATGGGGCTCTGTCTGACAGCCGTGTTCTACAGGTCCAAAGGTTTTTCCACATTCCTGACATGAATGTCAGGGGATGGCTGTGTGCGTAACAGCAGATACCTTTTCTTTCTCATACTGACTGCTCCCCAGGCAGAGCCGATGGAAGGCCCTGGAAACAGACCTCACTCTGAAGGTTGGCAGCGACCCAAGCGCCCGGCTTTCAGAGGGAGAATGAGGTTTGCACCACGTCCTGGCCCTGGCTGGGTTGGTTCTCGAAACAGTAACTTTACCTTTAAGTTTAATTATTTTAAGACAGTCCCCTCTCCTTTCTTCTACTCAGTCTTAATGTGTTGTGTTTACAGCAGGGGAGAGTAGAGCCCTGGGGGCATCACTCCTGGCTGGAGGGGGACACCTCAGCCAGGCTGCTGGCAGCTGCAGGGACTCCCGGCAAGGGCAGCTTGATGTGTTGTCTGTTGTCTCATAGCGCCACCTCCTGGCTATGGGGACAGTTTTGAAATTGGCAGTTGCAGAGGAGTAACTCCAGCCAGTTCTGAGCTGGCTAAGCTTCTGGAATCCTGTCAACTTCTAAGCGACAGACGCCTCCCCGAGCCCATGTGGCCCCTCGAAATCGGCATCTTCCAGGCCCAGGGGGTCCCGATGTGCCTGTGGGGAGCCTCCTTTGGTCCTGAGTCTCTTGTGCTTTGTGGTACTGTGTTTCCTATGCAGGGTATGTTTCCTGCTAAGCCCTGGGCCAGCTCCAGTCTGCCCTTGCAGAACTTGGGAATGTGGCTTTAGCCACGGGCTCAGCCTGTAACATCGTGGCTGCCATGCAGAGGTGGCCTGGAGAACAGGGTGACAGCCTGTCCTGGGTTGCCAGGGGCTTCTAGTCACATCTGTGAACACAACGTGGTTTCTGTGGCATTTTCTTTTACTCCTAAAATGGTCTAGTTGTAGATGACTTCTCATCCTACCCTCTCTTCAATAAGGGGTGGGACATCACCTGAGCCTGCAGGTGCTAACAGCTGCTACAGAGGAGGGTGTTGTGCTCCAAATTAACAACACACTGAGATGTCCCAGGAACACCTGTGTTGGAGGCCCCAAGGCTGGTTGTGGTAAGCTCTGCTCCTCTTATCAATGTAAAAGTCAGTTACACACAAGGTGCTTCTTCACAGGGAAGCCTAGAGGTGATATCCAGGGGAATGATGGGAACACCCCCACTTAGAAGTCCCATATCTGCTCTGGGTCTGCCTGCTTTGGGAGCCTGGCACCTGCCACATGCCCCTGGGGATGTCACCTTGATCCTGGAGGAGGATCAAGGATGCTGAGGCTCCCTCAGTAGTCTTGGTGGCTGCCCGAGCCTGGATGCCTGGCTACTTAATGCACCGGAGTCACAGGGATGAACGTGTCCTTCCTCAGACTTGGCTCTGTCTCCCATTTTAGGTTCAAACTTAGGCATCCTCCCACCCTCCCTTCTACCAAATACTCTCCTCCCAGAAGCCTAAGGCAGCACAGTGGGCTGAGCAACTGTCTGGTTCATCATGAAATAAGTGCTTGAATTCAAAACATTACAATGAATGACTGAATCACAAGACTCTCTAAGTCTTGTTTCTCACCAGAAGCATGTGAGATGCCCAGGCCCCAGAAATGGATGTTCAGGGAAGCAGGGCCCGAGAAGGGGCAGTGTTAACATGGGTCGTGGAGTTTCCACGAATGCCCAGAAACCTGGCTATAAGTACTTGACTCAGTGTGAAGTTTTAGAAAAAATATATGATTGCAGACACTAGGGCTGTCTATAGCAAGCTGGAACTCCCAGGAGGCCAGACCAGGGCAGAGGGCTGCCTAGGGCCGCACCTCACACAGAAGTTGCCAGCCACACTCCAAAGGTTGTGTGACTCTGAAACACTCCAGGGAACAGAAGAACACCCTCCAGGCGGGTCCTCTCCTTACCTCCACCCTGCAGCCGCCCACAGAGGGACCGGACCACTTTGGCACTCCCGAATCTCTTGAAGCGGGCTCTCACGTGCTGGTAGTACCACTCCAAGGATCCCATCTTTACCACTCTGCCAGGGAAATGTGGACAGGCCTGATGTGCTGTCCGCAGGTTGCAGAGACCTTTGCCCCTTCATTTCCTCCACCAACCCCATTCAGAAGCCATTACGGTCACTCTGTCTCCAAGCCCTGCTCACCTGGCCAGGTGGCAGGGGTCACAGAGCCAGCCCCGCTCCTCTGGGTGGACGTGGCTGCAGCTTTTGCAGATGAAGAGGCCACACTCTAGGCATCGCCGTCTGCTGTTCACAAGGAGCCTGTAGGGCTGCAGGCAGCGGGCACAGTGGGTCTCATTCAGGTGGGCTGTGTCGGACAGCAGCTCCCTCTTGGAGCTCTCCTTCTTTATTTTGCCCTTCAACTCCCTTGGGAAAATATGGGATAAGAAACAGATCAGATATCTTGTTTCTGCAATAGGTTTTAGATGTGAGGGTGCACACATGTACACACATACAGTGCTCTCATATGCAGAAGATAGTGACCCAAGTTGAGCAAGAGCCCCCACAGCCATCCTGATCATCAGTAGACCTACTCCAGGCTTGTCCTCTCCCTGGAGAAGACAAATAAGTTGGGTTCAATCATATGCAACTTTGGTAGGCTAGAACTGAAACCTGTGATTTTCATAGAAATGACATTGCCCATAAGCATTTCTGTGGCTTTTACAATTGTACCCTGTGCCCTCCTTTGTGGGTCACCAAATCCCAAGGGCAAGGCCAGGTGACATTTCCTCAGTAAGCAGTTTCGGGTACCTTCCAGCAAACGCCAGGCTGGGACTGTTTCTGCAGAACCTGGCTAAGAGGCTTGGCCTGGAGAGTCTCCAGACAGCAATTCCCCAGCACCCGGAAGTCCCAGGAGAACCTCAGTTTTTCTAGACCATCCAGTTTTAAGTAACACAGCTTCCTGGTGAGCCTGCCAAGTGGACTGACTAAAAATGTATCCCCAGATCCTAATGAAAACATTTCCTTTGTTCTGGGTTTCAGAGAATGTCAAACACAATATATTTAGTTTTAGGTGAGAGAACATGAATCTGTTCTTACAAAAATTAGCAAGACGCTGGGTACCATTATCTTCCGAGAACTTTAAAGATTTCAGTTTTCAAGGGTGACACCTCAGCATGTGGCAGGGTTGGGGGGCACAATGAATGGTTTGAAGTGGTCCTGACCAGACTTCACCGATTTCTCTCTCTCAAACATAGGGGTTCCCATAAAAACCACAGTTTCAATCACCCATAATCAACAAAAAAGAAGGGTAAGTGTAGTATGGACACACACACACACACACACACACACACACACACACACACGTTTAGGTGCTGTTTCATGGCAGCTTCAGACTTTGCTCTCGAATGGTCCCTCCCCCTACCTCCTCTTTCCTCTCCTCCCCCTCTACCTTCTAGCTGGTTCCCTTTCTTCCCCCATCAGTCCCCAGCTCTGCCCTCCTTTTACATGGGGCCCAGTCCCTCTCTGTGTCCACCTCCCTAAGACCTCTCCCTCTCCTCCCATGACCCCTTTAGTCCTGTGACCCACAGACACACATCTACAGACACCCATACAGAGAGGTAAACACACACTTGTGCATAACTTTAAATTTAGGAGAGAGACCGTGATACTCGTCTTTCTGAGTCTGGCTTATTTCTCTTGAAGATTTCCAGGGGCATCCATTTTTCTGCAATCGCCACGGTTTCACTTTTCTTTACTGCTGCGTACAATTCCACTGTGTACATGGACATTTTCTTCATCCACTCACTTGTGGATGGGCATCTAGGCTGGTTCCATTTCTTGGCTACTGCTAATAGTACAGTTATAAGCAATGATGTGCAAGGATCTCATGATGTGTTCACTTAGTCTTTTGGGCATGTGCCTGAAAGCTGGGTCAGAGGGAGTTCTATTTTCAGTTCTGAAGAGCCTTCATATGGAGTGTCATAGTGACTAACAAGTTTACATTCCCACAGCAGTGAACAGGCTTCCTCTTCCCTCACATTCTTGCCAACACTAATTCTCTTGATAACAACCATTCTGAGGGGTGAGATGAAGTTCAAAGTAGGTTTTTTTTTTTTGGTCTTTTTGAGACAGGGTCTCCCTGTAGCCCCAGCTGTCCTGGAACTCACTATGTAGACCAGGCTGGCCTTGAACTCACAGAGATCCGCCTGCCTCTGCCTCCAGAGTGCTGGGACTAAAGGCGTGCGCCACCACGCCTAGCAGAAGTTCAAAGTAGTTTTAATTTTCATTTCTTCAATGCCTAAGGATGTTGAACTTTTAAAAGCATTTAACGGTCACTCGTATTTCTTCTTTTGAGAACTAGCTTGTTCATTAGCTCGCTTACTGATCCCCGGCAGACCTACTACAGGCCTGTTCCCTGGGTAATTTGTGTTTTTGGTATTTTATTCCTATAGTTCTTACATCTTAGTAATGGTTCCATTCTATCCTGGTCATGTTGTTAATCTCTTCCTCTGCCTGATTTATAAGCGTGACTGTATCAAAGGTATGTACACATGGGAAGGAGCACAGTATCTGCAGGCTTGGCTCTATCTACCACTTCAGAACACAAGGGTAACTAACTGCCCATAAAGATCCCAAATAGGACCCCTGTCACATTCTGAAAATGAAGGCACATTAGGAGTCTAGGAAGAACTGTCACTCATGCCCAGTACGGTGCAGATAAAGCTGTACCCACAGGCCTTTGCCGTGAACAGAGCCACATGGCCACTGGAGTGAGGCAGGAAGGCCCTGTCTCCTCCATTTCCACCCTTTCCAATCTGCATCAACCAGAGAAGCTATGGGCCACCCCTCTCCCAGGCAGGACCTGTCTACCTCTTTCCCAATGAGTGCTCCCCCCAACCCCCTCTGCCAGTCTATTTCAGCCAGGAGGGAGATCAGGCAACACCTGCTAATTGCCAGGCATAGTCAGCGAAGCTGGAAGAGAGGTGCTTGGGGCCAGTGAAAGCCATATGCTGTACTTATCTGGACTCTGGGTTAACCAGATGTCACCATGCACAGGTGTATGGGCAGGGCAGAGCACAGCATGCACTGAGTCATCTCAGGACTGAAGGACTCTGCAGAATGTGAGTCACTGCCACTTGAAATGGGTCCATATGCTATGCTGAACAGGGGACAGGAGGGCGGAGTCCAGGGAGACAGGAGCTTGGGCACAGGAAGAAACTGAGCTGAGTCAGACCACAGACACTGTGAGCAGAGCTAGGGACTTTTATCATGAAACAATATTTCCACCTGCATGACCCAGGGAGCAGTGAACCAAAGAACGCAGACCTGGGTATTTGGTAGCTATTTTCTCCAAAGTGAACAATGTGAGCTGCTTCACTGCTTCAGGGAAAAGAGCCACAGTCTTTACTGCCCACGAGAGACCAGACGTTCCTAACACAAAGTAGAAAATTTGGAAAACTTATGTCCTCCTCTGTAAGCGTGACAGTTTCCAATGCTCAGATCTCTGAGACCAGTGGGGCAGCGTGACAGGCTTCCTTCTGTGGTGTGGAGCGGAATGTGGTATTTGAAAGTCTGAACAACTCAGGGAAGGGAGAGTTTTCAAACCATCAGCGGGAGATATTATAGACATCACACACAGGCAGAAGAGTCGCTCTAAGTGCAGGACAGACAGCTGTTAGCATGAAAGGTTCATTATAAAGGTTTGAGAGCCCACGTTCCAACTAACCTTTAAGAGACTACCAAGGAGCAACAAAAGTGCTCAGAATTATCTGAAAAACCAGCAACTCTTCCACCTGGGTGGGGTGGTACCCACTGGCAATCCCAGCTCTCTAAAGCTGGCCAGAGCGTTAAAGGTTGGAGACCATCCTGGGCTACACAGAGAGACTTTGTTAAACACACACACACACACGCACGCACACACAGACAGAATAAATAAAGAAAAGTTAAAAAACGTACTCTGTTTCCTAGCTACTGATAATATGAGGCTGGGTTTTCTTCAATACATTTGCTCAAAAAATCTGCCACAGCAGCCGGGGTTCAGGGCCGGGGAGAACTCAAACATTTTGTTTTCTCAACATTGAATTGACTTTCAAAAATATAAACCAACACCACAATTCTTGCTCATGTTTTTGTTTTGGAGAAATAATTTTTGTAAAAATTATACATCTGTTAAAGTATAAAGTGGTTTATTTCTATTATTTTTAGATGATCAAATTCTTTATAAAAACCAGTTTTGGGCTCTAGACACGAGCCTCATGCACAAAACTGCTGGGGTTCTTGGTGACTTAAAAATGAAAAGGGACCCTGAGGCCAGAGAGTTTGAACCATGGCTCATTTTCAAATCATTTGCTCGCTCTTCTAGAATGTGGAGGAAAGTGGTGACCAGATGGGAGTGAGGAAAGAGACAACGAAGGCCAGGGAGCAGGAGCAAGGCCCCAGCCCACAGCAGAGACACAGAGAGGGGAGGACAGAGCAGGCCTTAGGTAAGGACGTGAAGGACAGCCAAGGGTGGGTGTGGAACCCCTCAAGCACAGGCTGAGGCTATGCCCTACTGAGGCCACAGCTGCAGGCACAACAGTGGAAGGCGATGGCGGGCTTTACTTGCTACCGCTTGTGTTGGGGTGACAGGGGTCTGGCATCCCTGTGGTCCTTAGACTGTATACCCATCAGGCTGATGTGAGGTGTTGAACAGCTGGGCAACTGACTGCCAAGACACAGGGTTAGTGTGAGAGGCCACAGTATGTGGGTGCTTGGGTAGGACCTGGGTCTCCACGGTAGGCACTGTCTACATCCCCATACCCCGCAGGGACCATGTGTACACAGGCCAGTGGACAGTGTATAGTGTCCAGTCCTCATAACCTGTATTACTGTGAAGGCTATGAGACCTTCCACGAGGCCTCGCTGTTGGTTTGGCACAAACCAGGGAAAGGGAGGGGACTCAGGAGAAGAAGATGGTGCCAGGAGAGGAGATCGGGTGGGCACAAAGTCTGGGAGACCAGAAGACACTTCTGTTTTCTCGCCCGAGCGTTGAGGACTCGGGAGTAAGATTAGACAGAATCCAAGACCTGCCTTTCCTTTATACAGCTCAGTGACAGTGAGTGACAGTGACCACGCCACGGGGGCAGCAGTCATAAGGACACATCAAAGCACTCCTGGCCAGAGAATATATTCAGAAGAGGAGCGAAGCAGGCATGTTAGAGGATCACAGGTGACACATGCAGACTGACAGTGGCTCCCTCGTGATGAGAAAGAGGGATGAGGCTAGACCAATGTGTGGCTTCTCAGCAAAGCAGTGGTGGTAGCAGTGGTCTGGAGTCCCACACGTTCCCTGCCTTAAAACAACAGGAGTTTCTCATCTTATGGTTCTGGAGGTCTGAACTCTAACCCTGAGGATTTACGAGACCTGGGGAGAACCAGTCTCTGCC